GCAGCTTTCTGGGCTGAAGAGAAGCAGCAGCTCTTTAGGGAGGTAGGCGGAGGGGCCATACGCTCATTTCTCTATCTTGGATTATTGCAGGAGTCAAATGATGTCATTGAACTTGATGTGGCCTTTGTGCTTGGAGATGTAGAGGCATTTGTGGCTGCATAAGAGCTGTGATCAAGGCATCTGTTCTAAGGGGTTTCTGGATTCGTTAATGGGTCTGTGGCTATGTCTGTATTGCATATTGAGGTGTGTTTAGATCTGGACTTCTTTTGGTGTCGGAGCTTGGCTTTTTTAGTTAGCTGAGATGTCTTTGCATTTGCAACGGGCAGCATAAAAATACCCTAACCTAAAGGCCTCAGCAGCTTCTAGACACCCTGTCTGAGCCCGCAGAGACAGTTAGCACTATATGAGTTAGGAACACTTTACCTTTTAACCTGTGCTAGCAGTGTGAGGTGCCTTTCCCTGCCAGCAAGCGTTAAGTGAATTTAACACAGGAAAGAGATGAAATGAGCTTTGATTTTTTTTTTTTTTTTTCCTTCTTTTTAAATTGGGGGGAGGTGGGGGAACAACTGATGAACATTGATCAAGCTAATCCAAGAAAATTTCACCTTACTTCCAAAGTTTGGTTACTGAACTCTCTTCCTACCCTGTGGTGCTGGTGTAAGGGTGGGCTGGTAGAGGGTCTCGGTTGGCTCTCCTCACCAAAAAAAAGCAAAACTCATCAGTGATGATTAGAGCTGCTGCTTGTCAGTGTGTGAAGAAAAGAGCTACAATTCATCACTCACACTGTCATGTGAAGCCACAGAAAAGTAATTAGCAGGTAAAATGTCTATTAATAGCTCCCACCACCTTTAGTTCGAACACCTGCTGACAAGCTATTACTCTGTGTAGCTTAGCTTCATCAAGTTCTTGTTTTGCGATTGCCAGAATTGACTGCATTAGAGCCATTTCTGTTAAGGTGGGGTGTCTCTGAAGAGACTCTTGCTCCATGGCCTCTCGTTGAGAAAGCAGATGCGTAGACTTGCTTCGCTTCTCGTAATCTCTACAAGCATGCAGAGATTTCTTTGTGGTTCTTTTAGAGACTGTGAATTTATTTTGGCTAATGAAAGCATAACTTGTGTTAGCGCCGGCTAAATGCAGAGTAGGGGAAAACAAAGAATTGTCTCCTTTGCCTGCAATTATCTTCTTACGGTGCTTGAAAATAAACGCAGTGCATTTCTAAGAAAACCGTATTGTTAATAGTATATTATTGCATATAAAGTATGATTAAACTTGGCAGTTATTATTTGAGCAAGCTTTTTTCCAGTATTAGAACGTGCAACTCTTTGTTCGTTTTAATGTGGGCCAGAAATATTGGTGATAAACAAAGTGGGGATTTTGTTAGCTTGGCTGCTGTTTTAGGATCCTTCTACTTGAAGGCTTCAATAAACACAGTTGCCCAAAAATATGTTCTGCCTGAAATTTATCTCTGTATTTTCCATCCCTGGCTTTATCTGTCTCCTATTACAGGTGGAGGCTTTACCAAAATCAGTGTCATTCCTCATGTAGGACTGAATTTTTTTACGGAGCTTAAGTGTTACAGTTGTCCCTCAGTTTTTTATGTTAAAGGACACACACACATTTGGTGAATATGTGTGAAAATAAACTTTGTATCTGTTAACGCTGTCTCTTCCTTTCCACACATCTGACGGTGAAAAAAGACATCTGAAAAAGAGTGCATCTGTAGGTGGTTGTCACTTGAAATGTTAACCAGAGGCCACTACGCTTTTATCAGAGCTGATTTTCTAAGGGAGCACATCCGTAAATGCAGCCTATTTTTCTGCCATAGAATAAATTTTTGAGTCTCGTTTTGCTCGGTCCGCAGTGTTCAATATTGCAGGTTTTCTTTTTGCTGGTGCTTCCCTTTCTGGTGGGACTGGAAGCCCGCACGTGGCTGTGGTGGGCACGGCACACCAGTGCAGACTGGTACCCACCGCCCGCCTCTCCAAGGGGATGAGGTACAGACAAGGTGACGAAGCGGGGGATGGAGGAAGAGAGGGGGATGAAATAATTTGGGGTTATCGAGGAGGAGCGTTGGGATCCAGCTGGGGCCTCGGCGCGGTCTCCCGGGCTCCTTCCCCGTGCCCCCCCCGCTGCCTTAGTTTACCTCACGTGGTTTGAAGGCGAAGCGCGGTATTTGGATAATCTCGCTTGGCTTCTTAAGAACAGCCCCTTGAATTACCAAGTTCAGCGTTTCGGCGTGTCAGAAGGATGGAAAGCCTTCGAGGCGCCCCCGTGGCCGGCCTGCGGTTTGTGGTCGTTCCCCCCGTGTTTGGGGGAGGTGAGCGCCGTGTTGTGTGGGGGCCGTGGGGCTCGCTCGTGGTGGGGCTTTGGTTTGGCTGATCTGTAAGGCGTTTTGTGTGACGTGTCTTTCATCCAGAATAGCTTTCATTTGTCCCCCCCCCGTTAATTTTGCCAAAATGAGCTAGATGCTCAAGAAGCAGGACGCAGTAAGAACAAACCTGTTGGTTCTTTTTCCAATTTACTCCTACCCAGTCCTTGATCTCCATCATGCTCTCTCAGCCACAGCAACTGCGGGAAACTGCAGCAAAAAACAGATTTATTTTTATCTGATGTTTATCTCTTTAATTCGGACTGGTTTAGTAAGTTATTAGTTGGGAGCCGTTTAGCTGCATAATAAAGTACGTTTTACTTTTCCATCCCCATTTATTTTTTTCATCTTGTAATTTTTTATTTATAACCTAACTCTATCTGTAGTATAATTGCTATCGAATATTTACATGGTGGAAGAGTCACTGCCCAGACATACAATTTGTCTAATTGGGAGCGGAACATGGTGGCAGAGGATGGCGCCTGTGCAAAACCTGCAGTTGAGAAACATGCCCACAAAGCCTTCCTTGCCCAAAACACGGATGGTCACAGAAGTTAGAGTAGCGGTTTTTAAAGTGCAACCTCAGGGTATGGTCGCTTCCCTTTTAAGCCGATCCCCAAAGTGCATCCTCTCCTGCGGGAAGGTGGCTGTTGTTTTAGCAGCTCCTTCACAACGTGTTTTCGGTTTTGAAGCACGAAATGGGGCTGGCTGGCGGACGGCAGGCGAGCTGTGTGCTGAAGTCTCTCTTTTCCGTGATGCTCTCCCGTTCGCTTGGGAGTGGATGTTACGGGAGGGCTGGGGGCTCACCAGGGCTAGCTTCAGTGTAACTGTGTAATTAAAGAGGAGATTAAGTTCATTTAGTAGGTGGTTTGGATTAGGAGCATGACAACTGCTGTAAATAACCACCCCCTGCCCCAGCTATCTCCTATAGAAAAAAGACTGAGGTAAATAGCTTCAGTGGTCTTATGTTAGCATTGGCAAATACATCCTGCATTCAGCTCTGTGGCCCCCAACGTAAGGAGGACATGGACCTGTTGGAGCGAGTCCAGAGGAGCTCCGTGAAGGGCTGGAGCACCTCTCCTATGAAAATAGGCTGAGAGAGTTGGGGTGGTTCAGCCTGGAGAAGAGAAGGCTCCAGGGAGACCTTACAGCAGCCTGCCAGTTTACAAGGGCATGTGGTGATAGGACGAGGGGTAATGGCTTTAAACTGAAAGAGGGTGGATTTAGACTAGATGTAAGGAAGAAGTTCTTCCCGGTGAGGGTGGTGAGGCACTGGAACAGGTTGCCCAGAGAGGCTGTGGCTGCCCCATCCCTGGCAGTGTTCAAGGCCAGGTTGGATGGGGCTTGGAGCAACCTGGTCTAGTGGAAGGTGTCCCTGCCCATGGCAGGGGGGTGGAATGACATCATCTTTAAGGTCCCCTCCAACTCAAACCGTTCTATGATTCTATCCCTTCTCCCATCTCCTCCTTGTGGACGTATTAGCATGGGGACCAAACCGGGGGCCTGGGAGGAGAGCTGGTGAGGACAGGGTGTGTCGTTAGGAAGTAGATTTTTCTGTGTGCAGCTTTCTGCATCCTACTCTGTCATCATTTGTGGTAGGAAAGTAAGTAGCCCCTTCCATCGTCAACTGAACAAGTTGTGAGCACCCCGTGTTATAACCCTGTGATGTGCTTAAGGTGAGGAGCCCCTTCAGAAGTCCCATTTTTCTCTTACAGGAATAATAAGCTCAAGTCTATGCAATTGCTTATTCCTTTACAAAGGCAAAAGAAAATCTCTTTTGAAATAACTCATTCTTTGCATTTGTGAGGAAAACAAATCTATTATAGAAATAACAAATCACTGATGGTACTATATTATATTGTAATTGAACATTAAATTAGGGCATTCTCCAGGGTTGTTTCAGCAACATTTGTATATTTGAAGGATGTTCAAGTACTATTTGTTAATATTTCTGCATAATTATTTCTGTCTGCTGCACAGCTGAGGAATGCAATTTAAGTTTAAGGGATTGACTCTTAAATGGAAGCAAAGTTTACAACTTGACTTTAGAAGGGCAACTTAGACATTGAGCAGAGTAGCACTGTGTTCTCTGCTCTGTGATTCTGGTGGTCCTTTACTGCTAACAAGAATAAAAATAACGTAATGAATATGCTTCCTCCACTGAAACCAACAAAAGACTTCGGTGTCACGCTGTGTCCATACTGCATACTTCTGCCAGTTGCAAGCCCTCTTGCCTAACGTGATCTTAGGAATCGGTGTGAGTAGGGACATGAGGGACTGATCCCTAACCGTCAGATCTACTGAGAGGACCGTCTGATCTACTGAGAGCGATGCACTGCTTTGAAAATCAATCTTCCAGACTAGGTTTTTTTCTTAATTTTGAGATTTTTTTTCTCAGTGCACTTAAAACCAGCTAGAAGATCACTCATAATTTTTCTCTTCTTTTGTTCTATTTTTATGCACTTCAGAAACAGAACATGCCATACATTTAAAAACTAATGAGTGGGTGTATTTCTACCTTAATTATTAGGAATGGTTAAGTTTTGAAGCAGAAGAACAGTATTGCTGTTCTCGGTACTTCATGTTCAGCTGCAAAGCTAACTTTCTTTTCTTTGTCTTTTTTTCAATGCAGAACTATGGTTTGGAAACAGAAAATCTAAAAACCCTTTCTCACAAACTGAATGCATCTGCCAAAAATCTGCAGAACTTCATCACTGGGAGGAGGAGGAGTGGTCACTATGATGGAAGGACCAGCCGCAAATTACCGAATGATTTTCTGACATCGGTAGTGGATCTGATTGGAGCAGCTAAAAGTCTGCTGGCTTGGTTGGACAGGTAAAATCTCCCAAATGTGTCACAGGTAACCAGATCATGCGCACGCACACAAACCCCAACTTCTTTAGAAAATGTGACATAGACATGGAAATGGAAGCAGAATTCATTTACAAATTCTGAGTGGATATTTGTAGCAATTTTTTCTTATTAAGTCGGCATGCAATTCAGGTAGCATTTCAGTACAATACTTCTAAATGCACTGCAACCCTACACATATCTGGAAATACAATATAGCAACAACATGACATCATTAGGTTATATATGTATTTTATTATTAATACAGAACAACACTTTGACCTGCATAACTCGGGTTCATTGCTCTGATAGTATCAAATTCACAAAACTCTGATCATACTTTTCATTATATAGGTGTCAGTGTATACTTCCAGTGTGTGTGTGTCTAAACATGCATGTTGTGTTGTAGTTTTTTTAAATGGCAGTGAAATACCTCTGAAACTGTAGATGGAATTGGAATTATGTTATACTTTTACCTCTATTACCTAGGAAGTATGTGGGACCAGGATTTAAGTGCTCTGCTTTACTGTATCTGTAGTGACATTTATAAAATGTATCACAGTGCTTTTTTTAATCAGCAAAAATAAAATGCTTATCTTGATTTAAAGGCATATCTTATTTTGTATCCAGCAGCTGAAGTTTTGTTCAAAGCATGATCTTTGTGTAATTCTTAAAATCCAACAGAATTATTTGGATTTACTGCTGTGGGTTTTGTTGTGTTTCATTTTCCTGAGGAAAACTGGCTTTTGTCCCATAAATGATTTCCATATGAAAGGTTTAGGTGAGGCATGAATCTTTTCTATTTCTTAAGCTGAACTGCAAACTCTTTCTTTTGTTCAGTAGATTGCAGCTACCACTGTTGCTTCTTTTCTCCTCTCTTTCTAGCCTTTCCACAAGTTTCAAAACCGGACTATCTAAAGTTGGGCTCCTGAATTTCTGTTTAGATGTTTAACATTCGATGTGCACAGAAGCAATACAATCTCGTGGAAAGAGTTTAGTATTAAGACTTGAAAAATGGGGAATATATTTTTAGCTCTGCCTCTAGCCTATTGTTGTTACTTAGAAGACCTGTAGGCTTCATTTTTTCTCCCTGCAAATAATTTTTGGCAGAGAATAGCATATCATTCTGGGCTTTAAAACAGAATGAGCAGTAGAAAACCATGTTCTTTTGCATAGGCAGATCAGTGTTCACCACTTCTTTCTATTTGGAAATAACCTCGATTGTTTTCTCATTGGAATTGTGGCTAATGGATAAAGACTGTTAGTTACAAAGATGAATTTTTATTTTTTTTGTCATAAAATAGTCTGGTATTAAAAGTAAACTTTCAAATGTATATACGTTTAACACATTGAAAAACAATGTGTTTTTGGCATCTCAATATGAATTTAGTGTTTGAACTTCAGGAAGAAAGTAGTTGTTGACGCTAGGAAACATCTGCATCTGAGCACTAATGTGTCACTGTAGTACTGTGCACCGTACCCAAATTATGGACTTTTAGTATTAAAAGACGAATTCAGTCTGTGAAATTTGTTTGTAGCTCAGAAGTGTGTTGAGAATTACCTCTTAGTAAAATTATGTTTACAAAGGCAGCTATATTGTATTTGTCAGAGGTAATTCTGTTAGCAGGTTTTAGTGTTGGTAGGGGAAGATATCTCATTAAATAACGTCTAAAAACATGCATATCAGTTCTACTCCCAATAAAATGCAAAAGTCATTTTGCATTTATCTGAAGTGACAGCTGCTCAGACCCAGGAGTTCCAAGAAGTTAAAAATGAGGGCAGCCATGGTGGTAGCCGACTTTAGCAATGCTGTCTTTAGTATCCAAATAAGGCTTCCTAGAAGTGTTATTTCAATTTCGTACAGATTTCTGGGAAGGTCCTTTTGAATATCTGTGTAGCTTAAACACCTGGTTCTGGCAAATGTTTTCTGTAAGGTTTGAAGACTTTTCTGATTTATGAGCATGTGGGTGTTTTGGTTAGGTTTGTTCGTCCTTCGTTGTGAAGCCCCCAGATTAGGATGAAGGCAGGCCAATGACTGCATTTTTCTCAGGAAGTGAGAACGCCTGGAGATCAATAGGATTCTGCTTATTGTATTCCTCCTAAGAAGCTCTTGGGGCCACTAGGGGGAGATAGAAAGATTTTAAAAATAAAGTATTTAAAGTCGGGAACATGGATTTAATTTCATTCTGCACAGTTGTTACTATTAAATCTGGGCCCCAAATCTTAGTTTTTGGTTGGTTTCTAACACCAGTTCCATCTCTGGGGTGTGAGAGAGGGGAGAACAAACCATTAGGAGGAATAAAGCGGCTATTAGGGTTATCCACCCCATTGTAACAGCCATACTAGGCTGCCCCTATGCAGTGTTTTTCAGGTCACATCTGGAAAAAGCAGCTAGCAGCAGCTCCAGTTTGCATAGAAATGCAATGATGTGTTTTTCTTGTGTAGGGAATGGTGACGACTCCTTACAAGTTGTGCTTCACTTGCTGCTCTAGCGAGCTCTCTTTTTTTACGATGTTTTTGTATGACACTTAACAATCTATAAGGACCTCGTTAGGCCAGGCACAATTATCAAAAGGAGTGCGAGAGCTGTGATTTGCTGAGTTACTTTCGCTGCGGCTCTTGCAGTGCCACTGCGCAGGGCCAATCCAAGGATGCTCTTTGTTCCAGGTCTCTGCCTGGAGCAGTCCTACTTCCAGATGTATGTCAGAGATTTGAGTTTTAATGAAAATTAGGGTAACTTTTATTGCCAGGCTTTAAAAGTCTTCTGGTTTAGTTTAATTCAGGAACTGGAAAACTTAGTAGAGAATTCTAGCTATTTTCAAAAGAGGCTGGCTGATGATTTTGAGGAGCATGAAATAGCTCTCCAATAATGTCCTGTAAATAAACTGTCATCACACTAATAGATTATGTCCTTAAACTTTTTAGACTTATTCTAGCTTCCTGTTACTTTCTCAGCCCACAAAATCTATCCTTTCTTCCAGAAGACTTCAAAAAAATGTTTTAGCTTAATAATGTTTTATTTTATACTCTTTCCTTAATCTTCAAATTCTTCCAAGCCAATTTGCTGATGAGATTGGTGCTTTACTGAAAAACTATGAGAGTCATTTGTGAAAGTATGGTGCATTTCCACTTGACACTCCTAGGCTGATGGAAAAACCACACTTTAGGCCATAGCAACAAACTACTTACCTGATGTTCAAAGCAACTTGACATCAGAATGTCTCCAGTGATACTTCTCAGGAATTAAAGAATGATATATACAGTCATCTAGGTGTTCTAGACTTCCAGTTAGATCGTTGGTGTTCTTTTCAGTCTTTATTCCTGTAATTCATTAAAGCTGTATTCTTTGGAATAGTAATATATGCCATCTTTCTGAATCCTCCTTCTTCTCTGATGTGTCAGATTCCTGGAAATTCTTCTGCCTTTTATAGGCCTGACACACTACATCCCGGGGAGGAATTTTTTAAAATGTATAATTAAAGTAGGATTACTGTTGCGAGTTCACTACTGTGGATCCACAACATGAATGACTTGCAATTTTGTGGCATAAAGCTATCTCTAACCTCATAAAAGTATTTTTTCTGTACGGTAGTATGTCCAGTAATATCTGCACATTTAATTGAAATTGAAATTAGGCATATTTATTTCTGTTAATCCCAGGTAAAGTTTTGTCCTAACAACACACATTTACAGTCCACCTGAAAACCACTTTGTAAAAGTGCTGCTTTTTGTGTGGATGTGTTGGTGTTCACTGCCTCTCTGAGATTTCTGAATTAAATATACATCATCCATCTGTGGCTTTCTTGATCTAAAAGCACCATGAACAACTAAAGGATGTTGAGAATCAAACTACTGTTTTCATCCTTAACAAAATTTTACCATGTTACTGGTGAAAAGGTCTTCAGTGACACCAGTGAAAACTTCCCAGTTTTGTCCAGAGGCAAATATGAACTGAAAAGTGATGATATTATAGGGATCCCAGAAAATTCTTCTGAGCTCCAAGTTTAGACCATTTAGCAATGCTTATAACTAACTTTCTCTCTGGTTAAGACACAGCCAGCTCTTCTACTGTACTCGCATCTCATTCTTTTCTACTAAGTTGCTGCTGTCTGTTGATTGTACTACTGAAATTGTGATGAGTCCTGAGTGAAGGGTGCTCGAATTCGTCCAATACTTTTTCTCCCAGAACTTAACAAACCATCTGACAGACAGACAGAAGGTTGTATTTTCATCAGAAGTTGGCAGACCACTGAGTGTTGAGTTTGTCTCCTAATGAGTCAGAGGCTGCTGCAAAGTGAAGGCAGCCTTGGGAGCGAAAGCATCTTCTACAAACCCTTCAAGCACCCCATTTTCCCCCTTCAAGTCCCACAGTACCTCGTATGTTTTTCTTCTGTGGGACAGCTAGATTTAACAGGTAGAGCTCATTACTATAGTCGTAAGTGGGAAGAACCGTAATGCTCCTTGTGGAAGAGGAAGGATCCTGAGGGAACCTGACCTGGGGCGACATTTGGTGGCAGCTCTATGATCTCTGTCTCTTCCCATCTTGTCTCCTTGCTCTGCCAGCACACAGCTTGTTCGCATCCCTTGCTTCTGCTGGTGCTGTCTTCCATGGTGCTCTTGGTTTGATATGTTGTCTTCATTCGCCTCCACCACGCTTCTGTCGTCTTTGCCAACCAAACACCCTGGAAATCTGTATTTCCTGCTGACTGCACTAAGCAAGAAAAATTTCTTGGTTGTGCTTCTGGGCTTCTTGCTTCTGCCTGCTCTGTAGTGCTTGGGCCGTATTATCTGAAGCAAGGACTGCTCATACCATATATCTTGTGCAACACCAAGAAGAATGTTTTGGATCTTAGCAAATAGTAACAATATCTGTATAAACTATAAACGTGGACTTAGAGACTGAGTGAGGAAGGGATGGTTGTTCTTAGGACTTTAACTGAGTCTTCATTAAAGACACAATTAAGATGATGCGGTAGTTTATTTTT